TGCATGTCACCCATGCAGGAGCATGGATCATCATCATCATACACGATAGCTAGAGTTGGGAAACACCTCAGCTACTGTGCCGCAATACATAGAAGAAAAAAGGAGAAAAATAGTAACCGGTGCAAGGCGGCTGAGCTACCGGTAACGGATGGGCATCGTTCCGACAAGCTACCAGCCAGCTACTGTGCATCAAAAAATTTGCTATGCGAAATTATGTAAGGCTAAATAGTGAGCTCGTGGTTGGAGGGGGGAGAGTAAAAGGGATGGGGGGGACAAAGAAACTCACAGCACCAACGCCACTGGGGTCAGCTCCTAGCCATATCAACAAGTGTGTCCAACCAAACGTGTTCATCGTCTTTCGGACCCCAACCAGGGAGCCGAGACGCTCCAACCGAGGCCAGCTCAGAAGTGAGGGCCTTCATTCCTGTCGACCAAGTCATCGCTTGGCCACCCCACCTCTTCTTCCATCCACATCCCCGGCGCGCAAACAACGCACGTCGCGGGAGTCGGTGGGCTGGCATGCGTAACACGTGGCTGAGCCATCGGAGCCTGATGCGTGAAATAACGGTGCTGAGCGGTTCATTTCCTTTTCCTGTGCCGTAACCAAGGCGTCGAACACGCTCGTTGCTCACGCGGTGTTCCCACGAGATGCGAGCTAAATTGCGAAGACACCGGTGGTCGAACGTAACTAGCCTCTTCAGATCCGCTGATCTAAGGGACCGGGTTTCACAACCGTACAGTAAGGTCGAACGTACCGCTGCATTGTACACTCTACCCTTCAGGGCGAGAGTGATGTCGCGCGGCCGCCATAAGTGGCGAAGGTTAGCAAAAGCGCCTCGAGCTTTTGTTACACTGTTCGTGATCTCATCCTCAATCCCACGGGCGCTGACACAACTTCCCAGGTAGTTGAATTTTTGAACGAATTCTAGCTGATCCCCACCAACGGTCAGCGAAGGAGGCGGTCCAGACCGATCTTAGAGGAACACTTTGCACTTCGATGGTGCAAAACAAAGCCCGAAGTGGCGGACAGCTGGTGCTAATCTGTCCAGTGCCGCTTGACACGTTTGTGAGCTGTCACAGATTAGGGCAATATCATCAGCATACTCTAAGTCAAGAAATCGTTCTCCTGGGAGCAGATCCACACCTTCAAAGTCGTGTCCTGTGAACGCGATTTCCATGACTTCGTTAACACCGAAGTTGAGCATGGATATTCTGTACAGATTGATCTGTGCCGCTATATACACAGTTTTTCTCATCAAGAGAAATATGCGTATTATTATTATTGTTATTATTATTATTATTTCGTGCCGACGGTAAACTGGTGGTTGTTCCACACTCGGTACTCAAACTTTCTGAATGCTGCCACTGCCTTCGATACACGGATACGCAGCTCACTGTGTATCTGTTTGTCAGTCGAAACGACACTTCCAAGGTAGCAGAAGCGGGAGGTGGTTTCCTGTACTTTGTTACCAATACTGATTTGCGGCAATATTGTAGATTGCACCTCCGGTGAAGGCTGTAATAGACAGACTGTTTTGCTTGTGTTGTAGATGAGCCCGAATTTGGCCGCTGTCGAAGCCAGAACAGTAGTCATGTGCTGCAACTCATCCGCGCTGTATGCAAACAACGCGCAGTCGTCAGTGAACAGCAGCATACGGATAGTTGGCTTACAGACTAGAGTTCTCGCACGGAAGCGACAGATGGTCAGCAACCCACTATCAATACGGTGCTCCACACGTACTTCGTAAGTACAAGCCGCATCAAAAGCACAAGACATCATGGCATGAAGATAATTATTTAACAGGGCAGGAGCTAAGATACAGCCTTGCTTTAGACCAAAGACGACTGCAAAGTCATCCGAGGTCTCTACCTAGCTGCACTTTCGCCCGCATACCACTGTGCAGACATTCAATTGAACTTACAAACTTACTCGGACAGCCACAATGCCTCACGGTTCACCGTATCAAATGCTTTAGTGGAATCAACAAACTGATTACAACGGTTGGTATCGTTCTGTGCACTTCTCCTGCAACTGATAAGCCATAAACACCGTATCTGTGGTGCTACGACCCGAACGGAATTCACGTTGCTCTTCCGCTACGTTCGATTCCACAACCTGACTGATGAGGCGATTGAGCATCGTTTGGGCAATCACCTTGCCCACACAACTCAGCCAGTTGATACCACGATAATTCGTGGCATATTGCTTGCTACCTTTGCCTTTGTACAGTGGTAGCACAAGGGCATCCTTCAGCTCAGGAGGCACCTCCTCCTCAATCTACACGCGTTGCAGCAAGTGGTGAAGCGCAGTCACCAACGCAGGTCAGCCGTGTTTCAATACTGCAGGCGAAATCCTGTCGCCCCCGGCACACTTTCCGTTTCGCAGCTGAACAAGTGCCCTCTGCGTCTCATCCAGTGTCGGCTTGTCTGCCAGACTCAACTTCACCTGGTGCTGCTTCAGGCCGTTCAAAGTAGACCAGTCTAATTCTGAACAGTTGTTCATGAGACAGTCAAAGTGATTTCACCAGATCTGCAGTCTGTGTGCAGGTAACGCCTGAACTACCATCGAGTAGCGTGGTTGCAGCCTCGGTCCATACACCACGTTCAAGGAGCCAAAGAATTCCTTGTTTTGGCGGCGTTCCGCATAGCATTCCATTTGCTTCGCCTTCTCCGTCCACCATGCATTTTTTATGCGAAGCAGCTCTCGCGTTAGTCGCCGTTTTATTTTGCGGTTGATGGCATCCGTATTTGCTGTTCACTGTGGTTTCCATGGGATAGCCACAGAACGCCTGCGTCTACAGAGGGACCATGGGTGGCTCGCGCTGCACCACCCACGGTTCCACCCACACTCCCTATATCCAGTTTAAACCCGAAGGAATAAGACCGGTTTCATGTTTATGGGAGCCACGTTTTATCTATTGAGCTGACCTGCGCTTCTTCAGGATCTGCAGAATTCCTGTCTTCTAAATTTGGAATAATGCATATCAAATGTACGCAAGACGATAGCTGGGCGTTATTACCTTTCACGCCGGATACATGAAACTACTCTTTGAGCCTAGCCTGGCCGCGTAGATCGCACAACCTTTCTCTCCCCCTAACAGCTATTCAACTTCCTGGAGCCAGTATAGACGAGGTGGTGTGTAGTTGACAGGTAGGCACCTCTTCTGCATTCACACCAAGTACAACCAGGTGTTACGATTCACATGACAGGTTTCAGGTGTCGTACAACTACCACTTTAGCATCCAATTGCGTATCATCGCCCGTCAATGTGAAGCCTGACTTCGATTTTTACTCTGGGCACAGCATTGGCTCAGCCGACTCTCTTAACACACAAATGTCGGACTGCGGAACGGCACACTTTCCACCGACCGATTAAATTGATCTATCTTGTATTCGGAGACACTTACACTTTACCGTTACGGATGTACAACTCTCAGGTGAAAGTATTGAGAGGGGTCGGTCTGGCACGTACCGTAGGCGATTGCAACGAACCCCGGGTAATAGGAGTTACAGCTCCATTCCCTAGACTTGATCGCTTCGAACTTCACATGAAGTTTACGATTGCCCCAATGCTATCGATACTTCAGAAGATTTTTTCACATAAACTCTGCAAGTGGCGCCACAGTTGTGCTTTCAGCACTGTGTTTAGGACACTGTTATTTTATCCACTCATATTATCTGGTAAGTTTGATCCGGCAAGGCTTTGCAGTATGCTAACATTCAATTCCGCTTTCCAATACACATCTCATTAAAATACGACCTACCCTGCTACTCACCTGACTATTTCCACGACTGTCTTCCCCTCTTACTCTGTTGCGAAATTCGTCGCTACCTGATTCCCCTTTCTTGTTAAACCTACCTATGCGTTCCCTGGGCGTCCAGTCCTTGCTAGGTTGTTGATATGCGTAGGCGCGAGTGACGTGACATTTCGCTAGGCCGCGCGCGGCTGGTGGTGGTCGCCTTGAAGTAAAGCGTTGGTGTGGTGTACCGGCGGCACAGTAGCTGAGGTGTTTTCCACCTCTAGCTTACGTGTATGGTGATGATGATGGTGTACCGTCGTATTGCTATGTCCTTAACTTGCTCTTTTATACCATACTACTTGCTATAACCGTAGTAGCACGTACTTCTTATGCACCACGATGATACATGACCAAGTGATGTTGCGTGGTCTGCTTCCCTTCGGTAGCTGCTGGTAATAGCGGCGGCGGAAGCCTCTGTATCAACTTGAGCCGGTTTGTTGCTTCTGCGTAACAAGTTCCGCGGTTCTGTCACCGCTCTTCACATATTCATGAGGGCCCCATGTCTGCTTTTCACGTCGTATTTCCCACTACCGTCATCTCGAATGAGCGAATGATTTTCCACTGAACCATTGGTTCGCCTCCCTTGTACATCTGTGCGATGACTCAGGCTGGCCATAATACTTAGCTGCTAAGATGTCTGCTTGTCTGCTCAGATGAACGAGGGTGTACTAACTCTGTCGTTCTCCCAAACTTTATGAAACACTAACCGAGCCGATAGTTGAAAGAGGGCACGACAGATCACTCAACCTGTTCAAACTCATGTAAGTTTCTCTTTTTGCCTTCAACTGATGCGGTAGGTCACTAGGAATGGTAGCTACGTTGGTCCGGTATCGTTCTACACAACCCTGCTTGCTCCTCTTTTATCAATCCGGTTAACTAATCCAGTATAGTACGTTTTCACATGAAATCTTCCATTCCTTCAGTATGCTCATCATCAATGTTTTAGACATTGTTGTACATATTAGGAATGGACCACCATACACAGGGAACTCTATTGGGCCCATACTTTTTTCACCTCAGCCCACTCAGAGTCATGCTGGAGAAACAACAATTTCTTATTCTCGACTGCCGTTGCTTTGTCACTTAACCTTTTTGCACTTTGCTATGTTGCACCATACTGCGATCCACTTTCTCCATTCCTAGGCAGTCGAATCATCACGGATCCATCCACCTAATTTCTACTCTCTCTCTCCTTCCAGCTTGGAAATTATTCTAAGGGCCGACGCAGTCGATATGGCACAGCCTGGGGATCGCTGTGAGTTTATCGGAACTCTTATAGTTGTTCCGGACGTCAGTCAGCTGGCAACTCCAGGTACTTTTTCGGCGATTTTCATGTAGTGGGTTATTGCGTGTATTGGCGCCAGCGTTTTTTGGAGTGCTCCTTCGTTTACGCTTCTTAACATTCTGTCTTCCATGTTTATTATATATCATATGCTTGCGCCTACTTACATTATTAGCGGTACAGGATAATCTGTATTCAACTAACAAGTGCGTTCACTGTCCGCTTAAAACACTCAGAAGTGAAGTCTTTTAGGATATTCCAATATTTCAATGACAAAATACTAATCAACAACCATATGCAGCCGAAGCATCAGGTCGCTTCAAGACCACGTGGCCCATGCACTAGCCTCATCATTGGTTGGCTCAGACCAAACCTACTAATTTTGACAGCTGATCTAGCTGTTCCAGTAGTTAAGCTTTTTCTGCTTAACCTCTACTTTGTGTTGTTTTTATTTATATATTATTATATGTATTTACCACTTGTCCAATAAATATTTGGCAGAGTGCTACAACACATGAGTCACAATAACAAAAAGAGAGAGTGAGTAGGAGGAATGGAAGCAAAGTTCCATGTGTTTTGTGGGCATTGAGCTTCCCGGTTGCCCAGGCTGAGGAAGAGGGTTGACTTAAGGGACCCCACCCCGAGCATTTGGTCTAAAGACCTGACCCGCCAGGCAGCGGGGTGATTCACGAAGACCGTTGACAGCCAAGTGGTTCATTCGCCTTCATTGTGTTCGGAGCAGTCCACAGAGAAGCCGGTGGCCAGCAAGGTTGTTCATCCGCCCTCCGTTTGATACTCACCCCCAGTTACAGGAGTGAGTGGTCAGTGACCCTATAGCCGGTCACATTGGCTTTGACACAGCGCCTTATGAGCACTTGTGGTATTTAATGGAGAACCAGGTGATCAGCCCAGAACTCCCCACACTCTGAGACGCTGCCGCTGATTGTCCGCGATTGCTTATTCATCTCGCCTACAAAGCAAACGAGACTTATTCGCAGTTACTTTTACAAGGAAGGCATTCCCCGATCCGCAACCTGGGGACGTGCCCGATAGCGTACAGTTCCACCACGGGTGTTTACTTGTGCCGTTTCGGTGGCCAGTTCAGCGGTACAGTTTTACATCGATTTCCCATTTTGTCTTGGATTGGAACTTATGGCGACCGGATCAGTTCGACCGAAATTACGTCGAAAATGATGGATCTAACGCTTACGCCAGCGAAGTGATCGTTAGTTACTATTACTGCCAAATTTTATTTCAGATCCTTTGTGTCACCGTTTTTTCGTTTTACTAACGTATTCAGATTATGTAGACTCGAAACGAACAAGTTAACCCATCAGTCAGCTGAGCTGGAATATCAACTGTCATTGTTAAACAACTATCAATCACGCAGGTCCGCGACTGTCACCCATGGCGAAGTGGCACTAGCTGCTGGCATCCTGAAGTAATGGGGGCGGAACCTGGCAGCAGTCCGCTGGGAGGCGCACCACTGACGAGACCCACAAGGTCGAAACGCCGGCGTCTGGTGCCTTTCCAGACTAGCCTAAGCATGCTGATTGAGAATGACGATGATGAATTAGCAAGCTTAGCTTGTGTTTCGCCTATTGACATTGGGCACCTGGAGCTTCTTGCTAAATTCGGCTTAGTCAATCTGTGGGTCAGCATATCATCCATCGAAGGATCGAATCCCTGTGCGCTCCCACTGAAATCTCCCGATACACTCAGTTCACAAAGGACTCAGTCGACAACTCAAAGGAAACGTTCGCGACAGTCGGGAATTTCGGTGGTCCCAGCATGCCTTTTAAATGAAGGCCACTGTTCTCACTGGAAACACTCGCAAGCTATTCCATCTCATTCGCATCACTGGACACAGGAGGTCTTGTATCAGAGAAGTCATCTGCGAGGTGGATGGGACACAAATCGGTAACTTGCAGAGACGTATGGACAGATGGATTGAGCATTCCCAATCTCAGTTCTGTCACTCCTAGCCGTCTACCCTTGCACCCAGCACACCCGGTCGCATATCATGGGCAATGTCACTAGAACCACCCACTGAAGCGGAGGTTTCTCTTATGATCCGACCCCTGAAGCGCTTTGGGGCTTCGGGCTCCGACGAACTTCCTCAGATTTGTTCAAATGCGGTGGCACGGTAGTTGTTAGTCAGCTAACATCTCTATTCCTGACGATTTGGTTAGAAGCGTACCCACTTCTTGTGGAGAGTCAGTAATTGTCCCGCTCTTCAAAACGGTTCTCGTACTTCATGCACCAATCACATATGGATCAGTCTGGCATCGGTTGCATCCATCATGTTCCGCAGGCTAGCCCCAACGCATGAAACATTACCGGGAGGAACAGACTGGTTTTCGCCCTGCTCGGGGCTGTGTGGATAAAAGATTTACACTTCGTCGGTTTCTATAACATTTTCATCTCTACCGCAGACCTACCATCATCGCTTTCTTGGACACTCGGATTGTATTCGACTCAGTAGACCGGCTTGCTTTATGTCGATGCCTGCTAAAGAATGGAGTTCTCGAAAAGTACGTCTCTATAATTCCGGAACTGTACCTTTATACTTCAGACAGGGTGAGAACCTACGGCAAACTTTCTGCACCCTGATCTGTCACCATTTGTGTGCCACAAGCATACTCTATATCTCGGTTTCCCTTCAACCTTGTGATCGAAGGCGTCCTGCTGGGAGCTTTAGATGAGCATCGCACTCCGTCCAGGTGATCGCCCAACCGACTAAGATTACGCTGCTAATATCGTCATGATCGGTAACGACCCTCATTCCGTGCAAGCGATTCTTTACCGACTGGTGGTTGAAGCGCTTTGGTATGGTATGTGCTTTGCCCCTTCCAATTAAAAGGTGCCGTTACAGGATTGCCAATCGCTCCTTCCTCAGATCACGATCGAAAGCATGCAGTTGGTACACGTAGACAGTTTTGTACCTAGAGATCTGCATTTCTGCCGATGGCACTATTCAAGAGGTATCTCTTCCTGTTGTGAAAGCCCGGTCTGCTTTGCCAACTTGAAGTATTTGTGTCGTGGTCGCGACATTTCGCTTTTGCTAAATGGCATAGTCTGTAATGCCAGTGCTTGCGCAATGCTGTTCTGTGGATGCGAATCTTGGCCACTCCGTGTAGATGATAACCTTCACTAGTGGCTGTTTGCGGAGAATCGTCTGTGTATGGTGGGAACACTAAGTTCGCAATGATGACATCAGACATTTCTTCTTGTGCAAGACGGATCTCCTCCTCCTCCTCCTCCTCCTCCTCTTCTGTGAGCTTCTTCTGCTACACCAATTAAGATGGGTTAGCCACGACCTACGCATGACTGATGAACCTTTACCACGCCGCGCTCTATTTGCGCTCACAGGGCCGCATTGGAATAGGCTGCGTGGAGGCCATCCGACCATCTGGCGACAATGCATGCCTAGCCATCGCTTGCTCGATGCGTCTACCCGGTTGCGGACTCAAGGATGAAGAATGCCAGTGACTCACAACACTCGAAATAATGTCGCAAAATCGGATGTAGTGGAATCTATGCACGCAAATATGTGTACATTCAAGTTTTCAAAAACATTAACTGTTAACGGAGTGCAAGAGGTCGCTTGACAAAAGACACAAGATACCGATCTTCTTTGTTCCTCTTAATTAATTGGTACTTTTTGCAAATGATGTACATTTTCAACTGTTGATTGATTCGCCGAGCTCGACCAGTTAATCACGAGGCGGTGTTTCCATTCCAGTGAGCGGCACTACTTTGGTATCGGTTTATCTGGCCGCATCCTCTTTCTTATGCTACGGTTAATATTTGCGTTTTCCTGTCCATTACTTGCATCTCGCGTGTGATTACTGTACAATCCCGTGCAATAGGTACCAGGACCCTGGAAGCCAAACCGGTACGTGGGAGGGATAATCGCGAACTCGGGGGAATCACTGGCCTGAAAGCTTTGGGTGTCCGTGAACTTTCCTATCGGACTGCTTTTCTCGCGTGCACTGTCATACCTTCCAACGGTCGGGTAAGTTTCTCCATCTTGCTTGTTTCTGCTCTTGATGATCTCTCCATAACTCTAACTTTCTTGGTGGCTGTTTTGCGCACAACGCTGTTTGGATTGAGGATTGGTGACTGGGCTAACCCACAGACTAATTGTGGTTTCAGCCCACTTTTGTTCTTCACCTCGCATCACCATTCATTCATGTGGTATTCCTTTTTGTTGTAGTATCTACCATCCGACGGTCTCGAGGATGCTGATGCGATCTCATACGAAGCGCTGTCCAAGCGTTTGACTACGGCCGAGTTGGATACAATTTGCAAAATGAGTCAAGACCATCGGTTGTTCTCTAATCTGTGCAATTCCCTTTTTCCCACGATTCACGGTAGCGAAGAAGTGAAAAAGGGTCTGTTACTGATGCTGTTTGGTGGTGTCCCAAAGGTAAGTACAACTGCTGTTTTTATGGACCTGTTGACGCTCTTGAATTCCCATAGCGTCGAGATTGAGCCTTAATGTGTCGCCGTGATCCAATAAAGCACATTGTGCCAGTGTTACCTAAAGCTGCTCGGCGTGCGCCTTGTCGTGAAACCTAAATAGACGATTTCAGGTTTACAGGGATAGGTGATTGTACAGAACTAACTGGGTTATCCTAAAATAGAGTGTAGTTTCATTGCGAAACGAATCGAGATGAAATTAAACTTAACAGTCAGATGCAAGAAACCGAATGTAGGAACCCCACTGACTGTGCCATGTCTGATATAGCTTCCAACCAGGGGCTACCGTCCGGCAAGACAACACTCTAGTCTGATCGTTTTTCTGTGCCTGTTCCCCCATGCCTTTGTGCCACGTCCCCGACTGTCCACCTCGCGGTTTCGCCCAACTTGGTGCGGCGATGGCGTACAATGCGCACCGAGGAAGTCGGTCAACGGGTATGCAGAGGACATAACCCAGCCAGCGTAGACGGTTAAGATTCATTAAGCGCTCAAGTGAAGCACTAGAAGGCTTCTTTACAGAAACTAGTTAGGAGACCTCAACATTCCCAGTCTGTTGTTTCCACAGACGTGAGCAACACTCCGTAAACATCAATGATCAAGCACGGCCAAGCGTTTAATGTCTCCACTGCGAACTTACCAGGTCTCTGATCCATACAGTAAAACCGGCCTTATCACAGCGTGCTGCACCCTACCCTTCATTGGCAGGCTAATATCCCGGCGTCTTTGGAAAGCCACACGCGCGTTGCTGATACGCGAAGTAACCTCCTCAGTGAGGTGACTACCAGAGGTGACACAATTACCAGATTGAGTGAACCGATCCACCAATTTTATTGGCTATTCATTGATAACCAGAACCGGTGATGTTTTGGATCACTCCTGCTACATAGTTCAACCCTTTGATGGCGCAGAGCACATGCCGTAATGTGCAGTGCTACACGTCGGTCTGTTCAGCAGTGCTTACATAGCAACCGCGTCAGACTCAAGAAGAGTTATGTCGTCCGCATACTCACGGTTTACCAGTCGCCAAAACTACCACTCCTGAAGATCCTGAAATAACGGAGTTATTTCTGATCAGTTCGATCACGAAGTTGAGGAAGAAAGTAGATGTAGAATAACCCTGTGGGATCCCACTTGTCGGGGGAAGTCGCGCTAAAAAGATTTCAAGATGGAAGTGTTTCCCTGGCGCGCCGTTTGCAGATAGTCAGTAGCACAGGCTTTCGCGGTCAACAGAGTCGAGGACAGCTTTCTGTCCGAGGAAAATCACCATGGTCGGCTGGTTATATGTGTGTGCTAGCAATCATCTACCTCGTGGTGTCTTACTCTCATGATCCCCCTCAAGATGGAGCGTCGTCAGTCGACACATTTGACTGGTTAATGCACGCCGCCTTTATACATGTGGCTCACGCGGTCGACTACATCCGTCCTTAATGATTCGTTCTATCACGGCACAGTCATGACCTTGTGTTCTATCTGTTGCTTTTTACTAACGAGTATACGTCACATTCGTAAATCATTTGAATTTTTTCTATATCCTGCGTTTTCTTTATCTCTATTTTTCTAGGTTTTCCCCACTTATTGTTGTATTAGTATCGTTACCATTAATAGTATTGTGTGGCAGCGCGAGAAATTGCTACTTGGTTCATCGTGCTTTATCCTTTAATGTCGTAGTTACTTGGCAAACTGGCAGCAGAATTTCTTAATTTATGTGCTGGTGATGCTTACCAGCGACCAGCGCTTCCACATCTCACTTCTCCGTTTTTTATCTCATGACACGAGGTTTGTTGTGATGAAACAATTAATGGGGAAAATAAAAACGGCCAATTATAAGGCAGCTAATCAAATTTAGAGGAACTGTGCTCATCTACTCTTACGCCCCTTTGTTTCGTATGCAACCTGTTCCCTCCCCCCTCCATCAGCGATGTGTCCGACTGTTTTAGCGCTGTCTAGAAGCTGATGGTCATGCTCCACTTGCATTATCGAGTAGTTGAGTCAACCACCCCCCAGTGATCATTGTATGCCGATGGCACCAGTGTTCCGTTTCTACTTCCTCTTTGGTTCCATCGCAAAACGCAGTTGTGCCCTCCTTCATATCAACCTTGCTCTACTGTGTTTTCAACCGACTCTCCCTATCCCGCGTACTCAAGTGATCTTAACTGCGGCAGCATTGATGCTTATTACTCTTCCGTCAGACAATTGTCCGTACTTCGATGGAAACATTTTCGCATCTCACGATGCTCGTCCACTGTTCCTTTTGTTGGTCAGTGCTTGGTGCCGATTACCAGGGCGTAGGCGATACAGTCATTAAGCTGCCCTCGGAGAGCGTTACACAGATCCCCTTCCTATTACAAATTGATCCATTTTAATTCGGTGTTCGGATTATCTGTTGATTCAAGTGGATTTTTATTTTCGACGGAGTAAAGGAAGCATGACCTATGCGCCATGTTTGAAAACCAACTAATAACCGCATGTATGATCTGAACCTAGTTCTGTTGGTTTCACCTGGTATCCAAACACTTTTTGGATGACAGGCAACCGATAATCGACGCACATTTAAAGTGAGGTCTAACCACCTGCACTATTCTACCAGGTAATCTATATGCTATCTTAAGGCATGTCCCATGTTCCACCTCGCGAATTCATTGTGTACCAGGTCTTATAATCCCCACACCGACACCTCGTTAGTTCAGTGCACCCGGCACATGTTGGTTGGCCTACCGTTCTCGTTCATCCAACTGTAGTACGATCACTCACGCCTGTTTTGTAATCCGGAGGTCACCGGTTCGAATCCGCTTGGTTTTGGGCGACTTCGCGGAACACCTATCCCACGCAAGATTGATGTTGGTCTGCTGATAGCGAGGCATCGTTGCGATGTGCCGACGACTTTTTCTTCCACACGTCAATTGTTGCGCTGCACATCTGAGCCTCAATTCGAAGTCTGTCCCTGCAGCTCTACCTCGAACTCCCTTGGCTGCCAACAATTGAAGTCTTTTGCTGCGCGAACTCGCTGGCTGACTACTTTCGACAGTTTTCTTAAGGATTTGCGCTCATTTCCAATCGTTGTTGCCATCCTGTTGACGCGTGTCAATCCGAGGGACTGGGATTTACCACTTCTCTCAGCGGTCTGCGATCACTAGCCAATTTTGGCCATTAAGAGACCAAAAGCTGAGCTCATTACTGTTATAACTGATCATTTCCGTCGAGTTATTAAATATGCTATGCTTTCCTCCTCAAAGCTCCTTTGGGACAACCTTTACTCATAAATTGGACTGGGCACCAATGTTTCACCTACTTTTCTGTTCGTTCATTTAGTATGGCGGCTTAATCACCATGTACTCCGATACTGGTTATTTGTGGGTGAGCTCTCACTGCTCAGAACTGTTTGTTTCGCTAATCATCTGACAGCCATTGCACTTGTTGATCTGTTTTTCTCCAACTTAGGTCACAGAGGAAGGCACCCATCTGAGGGGCGATTTGAACGTTTGCCTTGTCGGCGACCCCAGCACGGCCAAATCGCAGTTCCTAAAGCACGTGGAACGTTTCTCCCCTCGTGCCGTCTACACCAGTGGCAAGGCCAGTTCTGCCGCTGGGCTCACAGCTGCAGTTGTTCGCGATGAAGAGTCCTTTGAATTTGTGATTGAAGCGGGTGCTCTTATGCTGGCGGACAATGTGAGTCACTCGGAGTGACTGTCGTGACCCATCTTACTTTTTGTTATTTTTTCTTTTAATTCATTGCATCATTATCTGAGATCATTCGTTTTTCTTGCTTCAACATGTATCTCACACCCCACTTCCACAGCAACAGCTTTTTCATGACCGTTTTTATTTATAACTCAGGGGGAATTCCTTTCTTCGTAATTCGGTTACAATCATGCTTTTGCTGTTTTCTAAGCTCTTTTGTGTGTCGTTTTCCAATCATCTCTGCACGAACTCGCACTGGAGTGCGTACTTGTTCGAAGTTACTCTATGTTGCTGTCACATAGTATCTTGGAGATATCCATACCTCCATTCTTAGAGCCGAATCTTGGATAACAGCAGTTCGTTACCTTTGTCCTCAGTTCAGATGGCATGGGATATGAGTCCCATGGGATTTTGATGGTACCAGGGGAGTACCTATTAATCACTGGCTTTCTGTCGCTTTCCTCAATCTTCTGGCCAATGAGTCACGGGTCTACCCCTGCTCGCTGCTTGCAGAGGCCTCGCAACTAAAGCTATACACTAATTGTACGACGAATCATAACTATTTGCAATGCTTACCATTCCTTTTGGTGAATCTGAGGGACGCGGTGTAGGCAGGCAAAAAGTCAACCAATCGTCGCCGACGCAGGTTGTTCGTGATTGTACGAGGCGGAGAGATGATTGTCTATTGCCTCTGCCTAGTGTGAACGAAGCACAACTTGGTCGCGGACAAAGGCGAACTGGATTGGCTGGAACAGCGCGTGCAAGTCAACGATCTCACACCAACGGCACGGGATACGATGGCGGCCCCTGTCCACGGAGCAAGCAATGGTGATGGGTAGCTAGTGAAAAGAAAGCTAATCAGGTACCACCCACACCAGTTGACCGTTTGCGCGAGCCAAACGGGCACTGGAGAATTGACGCGGCCAAGCATGAATCAGGTTGAGCATGGCTGTAGAACAGGACTGAGTTGAATCAAGCAGTGCGAATGAATATTGCGTTACCGCGCGGTGACCATAAAATGAAGATGCGAAAATGCAAAGCCGTCGTAATGAAATAGTGCCTCCCATTTTGAATGACGCATCGTTTACGGATAACAGATTTTGATCACCACGCAAGCTTTGTTTTGACTTGCAAATAGCTACACCACACTTGCCACTCCAATTTCTTCCTCACCAAATACGCTATCCTATGGAGTAATCTACGAATCACTAGCAAGTTTTGGGCAAATGCGAGCGAGTCTCCTTGGCCGGAACTTCTGATCAGACGGAGCGGACAATCAAGTGTGGAGCGTGGGCTTACAGCCAAATCCGCCAGGCGATGTTTAGAGGATTGGTGAGACCGACAAATAAATATGAGTGTTCTCGATCCTAATACAACTCTGGTCGGGTGAGTCTTCTTCTTCTTCCTTCTCCCTGTCGGGTTGGCCAAGGCATCAAACAGAACAGTCGTAAGGGCGCAGACTTACCAGCAGACGTAAATCATCCTATCGATTTCGGGTACAGCGTTATAACCGCCCCCTTAGAAGGCTAGACAATAACGGAACTATTCCAGTCCCTTCGGACAGTTTCCTGTGCCCATGCTTCCATTCATATATGGTGTAAGTCGTCCACAAGAGCAGGTCACCCGAAATTGAAAAATGCAGCAATAATATCATTTGGTCCTACCGCCTTACGCAACTTCAGCAGCCTACTCTCATCTTTGGCTTTTTAGCGATCCAAATGAACGTCCCTAGAAGTAGGGCGATCACTGGCCCTCGAGTAATCTCACTATTCCGGTTGTCTAAAGGGCTTTTCAAAATGCTCAGTCCAACGCTCCAAGCGTTTTGTGGATGAGTTGCCCACTCTGTTCACAAAGAGTTTCACTGACACCAGGTTTGCTGCTGCCAGTTTCCCGCACCAGATAGACTAATTTTCGGTGGTTGGCAAGTGCAGCGACCATTTCCATCTCCGATACACGTTGAGACCACAAGACGTGACTAAGTTTTACTGTGAGGTCTTTGTGTCCCGTTATGTTCGCTTTCATCTGTAATGTATCGACGAACACCGATAAGTTCCGGAGGTTGCAGTATGACCCACTGTCCATGTTAGCTTCTAGATTTTCCTGCTGCTTATGGGGTCTGAGGGATATGCCACCAGTGACCTTCAACTCCTCAGTGAGCGCTTACTCATTCCGAATTCCAGCGCAGTTTGATACGCATTCAGAACATCCGGCTTCATCAGTGGGATGCTTATACGTTCACAGCGTTGTCGCGTGCGTTCGCCGAAACGCAATCGCAGTGCATAGTCGGAGTCCACGCTTGTGCTCCAAATTGAGCGACGGTTTTGGACGCAGCCTCTCCAGTGGTAACTTATCGCGATGTGATCGATTTGCGTCCATGGTTGGTCCCCGACTGGTGGGCGTCATGTCACTCTTCTGCGAGTTGTGCATCGGAAGTTAATACTCGCGAGAAATAGACGAGCTTCTTCACACAAGTATGTTAACCGCCCACTGTTATCATTACGGAAGCCTACACCGTGTTGACCATCCAGGCGCAGCTCATCAATGCACAGTCTTTCAACTTAGCATCCAGATCACCAGCCAGCACTATGGCATCCGTACTTTTCCAGTATTGAAGGAGCTCGTTTCGTTGGTGGTGGAAATCATCTTTTACCTTGTCATTGCTATACTTTGTCAACGTGTAGATAGCGACACTTATTGGACCCGTGCTACTTCCAGTTTTGAACTATCTAGTGAGTCGGACGGCCTTACATCCGGCTGTTGATTAGGATTCCATTGATCCAGTCAGCTTCAGCGCAAGGACTCACTGCAATGCATGCACTGGTCTAACCGGCATTTGAAACTACATCTCAGGACGAACGCTATGTGAAAATATCACCATTGTCACATGAGGGCGATCTCAGAGTTGACCCAGAGCTGAGGTCTTGCAATTGGGTTTTGCGATAGACAGCATATATGGATCGATATGGCCTCTAGTGTTTGGCGCAAGTGCTGTCTTTTGACCGACTTAAAACAAAGTGTGCACTTTGAGGCATGCTAGTCTTAGCGAGGATCGAAACTTCAAAAGTAAACGTCTGAACTCACATTGTCCGCTTGGTAAAACACGGACTTGTCGACTGAACCGGAGCGACGCCCTGTGATTGCATATGAGTCGAAACTAGACCACAAGTGACTATCCAAGCAAAGTGGGAGTGGGCCAAGAATTGGGCGACTGAAAACAAACTCATCTGTGGACCATAAATATGCGTTGACTTTCACACTACTCATACTGTTTCGGTAGCTGAAATTTCAGCGCGCTTTTGCGTCGTAATCACGTTGACTTCTGGTTTTGCTTAGGGTTGGGTGTTATCAAAGGACGTGATTGCTCCAAGTGGAGTTGTATTGATAGAGATTGTCCAACATAACTTGTCTCATAACCTATTGACTGTTTGTGATCGTTAGACCCGACGCGTTCCAACGCTACGACAAGCGTTAGCTTTTCAACCACATCGGAAACGACCCAATTGTTCGTTCTGGTCCACTTCTACGATCACAGCGTATTTGCTTTCGAATGTACTCATGGTAGACGAGACTTTCTAATGGAATTCATCTCCGGTTCCCTCCAAGTTGTAGAAAATCCCAATGTCCAATTTTCGTTTTCTTTATTTTGTTTCTGCTTTATATTATTTGTCTACACTCTTTCAGCCCTATTGGTTGAGTTCCGCTGCCATGTCCGTTTCACTTCCCTGATTAAGTCACGATCAGCAAACCGGTTTGTGAACCAAGCACTTAGAGCCGAACACTTCCATTTTCCAATGCCATATCCATCCCACCGAACAGCTGGAACGCTTCGCGACTATGTTTGTCAGTTTTGTATAATCGTGTTTAACAATTTGCTGTGCACCTGATTGGAGCACAAATGCGCGTTTGTCCAGTTGGTCACTAGTGTTATTGCATTCCATTGACCGTTTTCTTGTGTTACAACCCGAACTTGTTTTCGCACCCCCTTCTGCCTAGGGCGTATGCTGCATCGATGAATTTGACAAAATGGATGCACGGGATCAAGTTGCCATCCACGAAGCGATGGAGCAGCAGACTATCAGCATCACCAAGGCTGGTGTGAAAGCCACTCTGAATGCGCGCACATCCATCTTGGCGGCCGCCAACCCAATCAATGGCCGCTACGACCGATCCAAATCACTGCGGCAAAATATTGGTCTGTCTGCCCCGCTCATGTCCCGCTTCGATCTCTTTTTCGTTTTGGTAGACGAGTGTAATGATGTGAGTGCCGTTTACAGTTATCTTCTACGCATCAGCTTTAACCTGGTGCGTCGCGCGTGGTGATGTCGTCTCACGTCACCGGTGTCCACTTTTCATTTTTCCCCCCTGAACTCAACAGCAGCCATACTATGCGTGCTTTTCGATCTTTCTCGTTGCATGTTGAGCGTCTACACCTTTTTTGCATTTTCCTCATCCATGTACAGCTCCAAGAGAAACGCTCATGCCTCCTTATAGGTGGGCACTTGCTGTTATCCTTTCGATTACTTAATGACCATCCATCTGCTTGCTTTTTTCAGATCGTCGATTACGCCATCGCACGTTCCATCGTAGATTTACACATGGGTATTCAGGGCCCAGAGAACACAAATTCTGTGTACACAGCGGACGACATTCGACGATACATTGCATTTGCACGCTGCTTCAAACCGAAGGTAATTGGGCCTCTTGCTATCTGTGTATTGATGTCAACAAATGCTTTTTTTAATCTAGTTGTTTGTGTTCGCTGAGCTCAACAGTTTGACTGCAAACGTTTCGTCACCATTTGAGCTCACATCGTCAGTGCGCGTGTGTGTAGCGGAGCGGCGCGGTACGAAGCGTGTGAGTGATGGATATTCTAAGCGGACAATCCATCAGTCCGAGTTTGGATCGTTCAACTAGCACACCAATTAAAATTGATCTCTAATTCGTGCTTCATAGCGTAAGCACGCGTTCCTTTTTGGTTGACGTCGTCGTATTTGTCCGGCGTTCTCTCCCGATTTAGTTGACTAATTCGGTGATCTTTCATCCGCAGTGCTGCATATATAACATCTAGTTCAACGCGTCTGTTGATTGAATTGCTTCTAGCATACCATGCTCCTATGAATTCTCTAGCTTGTCTCGAATCTCAACGGGTTAAGATCTTTATATTCTCTATATCAACTTGGTGGCCTCACCGTTTTTCATCCATGGAAACCAGTGAATGTGGGTCGTGTCTCCGTATGGCCATTTTATGTTTGTTGATCTGTGTCGTATGCTTCCTACCAGCTTGTCTGATGTAATGTTAGTTACATTCTTTTCAGTTTATTTGGTAGATGACATCATTCTGACGGCTTTGTTTGACTTTATCTTTCGACTTGGAGAGTACTTCTCTCAAAGTACTATTTGATTTGTTGGCTACCAAGATTTCATCTGGTCGTAGCAATCTCGCTGTTAGTTCGGACTCGTTCTTCATGTAAGGAAGCATTACTTGTGTATCTACCTGTTCTCGCTTTTTATTTAGGCTTCTCCTGCTGACATTTGTTGGATTCTCTGTTGTTTTGCAATACTCGGTATAAACGGTTTTCTTTTGTCTTCCTCTATTCTGTCGTGCTACACTGTGTTTCGGTTCTTCTGAAAAAGTTTTAAATGCAGCTTTTCTTTTGGTTTACTGGTTGGTTGTTCTGGTAGTTTAATATTTGGTCTGTATGGGTCTTCTTTCGATATACACCTATTTTCAGTTTCCTGTCAGTCTTTCTGTGGACCAGTACGTCTAAGAACGGTAATCGGTTGTCATCCTCAAGTTCGATGGAAAAGTTGATATCCCAGAGTGTGTTGATGATTGGTTCATTCGTATTTCGTTTGGAATCCCGTTTGATGATGACAAAGTGTCTTCCACGTACCGGGCCCATAATTTCGATTTGATCAACGGTATTTTAGTACGCTCCAGTTTCTGCATCACAGCTTCTGCTAAAAGTTCTGATATTGGCGATCCCATGGGTGTTCCCTTTAGTTGGTGATATACTTGTCCATCAAAGTAAAAATAAGTGGTCATGCAGAGATCCATGAGTTCCTCCTATATGCTCTCCGGCTTGAGGTTTCCTATTGTGTTCGGTTGATTTCGAAGTAATTCCATCATGATTTCTTTTGCAAGTTCGTGACCGATCGACTTGAAGAGTGCGGTGACGTCAAACAACGGCATGATACCATATTCTTCTGTCGTAACACTCCTTAGTTTGTTAAGAACTTGTGCAGCGTTGCTGATGCTTTGTTCAAATCCGGCAATTAAATGTTTTAATTTCTTTTACATGCACTTGACTAATTTGTGCGATGAGGTTCTTGACAGCGAGGCGATCGGACGCAATGGAACTCTGTCTTTGTGTACCTTTGGCAGTCCATAGGACCTTGCAATGTTTGTATCATTAACTATCATCGTTCCTGTTGATAGCTGGACAAGTTTTTGAGCTACCAATATTCGTTTCTATATCACAATCTTGTCATCGTTCTTTCTTCAGAGCTCACATTGTTGAAAAATTACACGCATCCATTTCCGTTAAACGGTGCCGGAAACACAGTTGCTGTTGACGTAGCACGTGTTCTCTCTCTATCTTCCTTGTCACTGGGTTGTATCGATGTACGCGACTGACGGTTCAGTGATGCAGAACTTACCAACCCTTCGATCTCCACGAGGATTGCGTACACAAGACGCTGGCCATCCCTTCATTTGACTTCCAGGAGATTGCCCAGCATTTTGGTTGCCATTTGCTAGTGCATAGACCGTGTTTTAATCCCAGTTTCGATAAGTACTTCCACTATCAAACGTTCTCCGCCCAATTAGCACTCTGTTCCTCCTTAACTACGTGCAGGTTGCCGTAGATGTGAACCTGTAGCTGTTGTAACGCTGGCTTAGCTCTGCCTGATGCTCCGTACAACCCAACCGGCGGAGGGGGGGACAGAAGACAAGACTTGCCAGACCCGAATGTATTGAGGACAGCGAATGCTTATGCACGTCTTTGCACATTACTCGGCTGGCTGCTCACTTACGCACGGTCTCCAATTTTTGACTGCCTGTAAACCCGACCAGTCGCAGCACCGCCCCCGCCTGCCTCTTGGCAACTCGTGCACTGGATGACGGACTGATTTCGTCACCTGCCCGGGTGGCCTACCGCAGGCCTGCTTCGCATTCTGACACCGTGTCTTATTGATCCTCCATTGCGGGCACCTAACAATAACCGGCTGGCACTACCTCATCTCGATGGGGTACCGTTACGCAATTTTATCTGTCCAGATGTGATACGTATGGTAAATCGGTCTCCGGGCGACCTAGATTCCAAGGATAGAGTATATGATTTGTGCGCCGCTTTCTCCCTGCACACATTTAGATCCCACGATCGTTAACATTCACAATGACTGGGAGCCGTGATAGTTAGTCCCTTACCCGCTTTCCGAGTTAGGATTGTTCGTAACTGTTCTGAACACACCATGATGCTCTCGCTCCCTTACTCGCAATTCGTCCGGTTACTCGGCGAAACTCGGCTTACACCACTTTTGTGTTACTAATCCCCATCCGAGTACGAAGTGTTGTGGGCTGGAAACGAGTCTCAAGCTCAGACCTAAGTCGATTACCAAGCATCTAAACACTTTCTAGGTGTATTCTTGATGCGCACTGTAAATTAGGGATCCTGTTCTGACCACACGAATACAGGCGCGGCCGACCCACTCGCCAAGGGGGTGGTAGTCAACCCAGACTGAGAATGTTTTCCAAGCGTTACTTTATAATCACGAATGCCCCTGTCGCACTTGCCAATGCTTTTAAGCAACTGGCCAGAACCACAGATTTGCTTCTCGTGAACAATAGAGGGACGCGGTTTTATCAGTCTGGTGACCTGTTACGTTGGAACCTCTAAAATCGATTTGTTTCGTTTCGAACAGCACCTGCCTTTCACTACAAATTGACACCCGCTTAAGAATAACAACTTAGTTTTGGAATAAACCTCGTACCGACTTAGAATGTATAATTTTAAAAATTTTTAGACTACAAATCGCTTTTTATAAAGGCCTGTATTGTGGCTACGTTTCGCTCGGGATACACGCCTTTACAAAACCCATTTTTCTATCCTAAAATTTGATATTATGTGAATTTCCAGTCGGTTCCAATTTTATTCCAGGACAGCAAATGACCTTGTGGATCTCGTGTTCGAAAGTTGCCGAGTAAACTTGTGCGATTGGTTGGAGTTGAAGCGGATTGGGAAAATCACCGATTCTTCAACATGTGGCATCTAATGTGAGGGATAATCCCTAGAATTTGTGTTCAAATCGCTGGACAACTCCTACACATCTGCCAGTGGCCTTAAACGCAAGCAAAACATTCCTAAGGCAACGGATTTGACTGACCTGGCTCGTACAATCTTCTGTGTTATGAGTGAAACGTAGCCGCAGTACACGCCTTAAAAACCGATCTCTTTTCTAGAAACTTCCGGTTCCTTTTGAGTTTAAACTCTAATTTTGACAGTCGACGTCCCTTGACGATTTACGGGACCATGCGTGATATCACTGTGATTCCCGGTAATCAGCACTTTATACCTTGTTGCGCACCATAGAACAAGCCAGTGTTTTGTACACAGAGGTTCCTTTTAGTTTTTGCGATCCTGCTTAAGCTGGCTGCTCTGAGCTCCTGTATCTTCACGCTTTGAAAGATGATCGATTCATTTCTGATATAAGGGCTGTCACAATTGACTCACTACTGTGTTTTCTCTATGTTTTGCTTCTTTCTAGATAAGCCCAGAAGCTATGCAGTCAATGGTTGAAGAGTATAAACGTATGCGCCAGCGTGATGCCTCCAGCGGTGCGAAGTCCGCCTGGAGAATAACAGTTCGTCAACTCGAAAGTCTGATTCGTCTTTCCGAGGCCACCGCTCGGTTACATTGTGCCGACACGGTATGTTCAGATCTATGCTTCTTCATCCCCAAACAGCACCTTTATCTCTGCTTATTCCCACACCAAGATCTTTTTTGTTACATCTACTCGTTGTCACACCCCACCCTCCTTTTCTCCCCAAGGTCACACAAGCTCATGTGCACGAGGCATACTCATTGCTCAACAAATCAATTATCCGTGTGGAACAACCCGATATTAATTTGGAAGAAGAACTACCGCCACCCGATTTAACACCAGCTCCATTGGCTGACCAAGTCAGTTGTTTTCTAGCCCACATTTGTATCACACACACACCCCTTTCAAGTTGTGTACCACATTTGAATGAGTTTCATCTCACCTGGATACTGCCACTTTGCCAGCTTGTATTCCAAACACACGCCACATAGTCCTATCCTCAGTAGTAGGCGCCTACCTAGTTCCATGAGTCTAGACAGTGGCTTCATTCGTCCTAGGCACCTTGTTTACTCCTGGTTCGTAGCGAGTATCAGAAACGGCGATCCATCACGGCTTGATTGCCCCCGCTCGCCACTGTATTTTATGGGCTCTTTTGCTTGACACTTCCGAGGTCCTTCTGGCTCTGACGGATCACATTGGTTCATATTTGAAGCTCAACTTCGAGCATACTTCTATAATACAGTAGTACTGGATGACATTTTACGAATTGTGTATACCCGCTTCGATGGTCCTAGGGTATACCTACGATGGTGTTTCCCAGATGGCGGGTTGGCGGCGGTTTTACGTCTCATGCTGAGCCATTCAGTGTCCAAAGAGTACTGCGAGAACTTATCTTGCAGTTCATTGCACTTACAAACGTGTCATCTTGCGTTATCAGAAATCGTATATGGTTTTCCCGGGTATGTCAAGCCAGCTGATCGTTATCGAGTCCAGTCGCATGTTCACTAGTTCATTATGCAAACTATTTAATTCTTAACGGATTGATATGAAACCATCCGGATATCCACTGTTGGACTGATGCAGCATCTAGTCGCACCGAACCGGCTTCTGACAAGCTGCAACGACATGGGACTATAGTACCTCCTCAAGCTAGTAACTCGCAACTGTTCTATCCTTGAATCATAATGAGTTAACCGACTTGATGATCCGGATTGATTACGTTACTTCGCCGACCGCTGCCATCTGGAGACATGGTTGATTCCCACTCGGCATCTTCCCGATCAATTTGCTTTCTGTGAATATTGTTACAAAAACCATTTATGTTATTCTCGCATACATTCGCCGTCTTACTAGCGGTAAATTCTATCTCCGTGTTGAATGCTTCACTAGTCCAGTTGTGTAGGGATTTCCTATGTTTGTTAATCAGTCCTCTAGGTCATTTCGACATTTTGTCAGCTGTTATCTCGCCTTTTTCGCTTATGCCTCCACATGCCAATTCTGACTCACCACTCTGCGTGCGATCCGTACTCGATCTTTGTGCTTTGCGAACACTTAGTTGATTCCAACAAACCAAGAACAACTGGCATTTCGCGAGATAGACTGAATTCAGTTTATCTCGTGTGTTCTCAACCATGGTTGGCGGCATCCGGTTTCGGATTTGCCTGTCACTGTGGCCAGCCACAGGACGCCTGCGCCTACAGAGGGACCATGGATGGCTTGCGCTGCACCACCCACAGCTCCAACCACACACCCCATATCCAGTGTAAACCCGAAGGAATAAGGCCGGGAGGCATGTGGATGGGAGCCACGTTTCATCAACGGAGCCGGCCCACACTCCTTCACAGGCAAACACAAGCACACTGTATTTGGGGAATCAAGCGCACACAAGGCGGTGGCTGGACCGTAGTCCGCTCCACACTGAGTGCATGGAACCACTCTTCGAGACTAGCACGGCCACAAGGACCGTGAACCCCGTCCCCACCAGCAACGACCAACTGCCTCCTGGAGCCAGTATGGACGAGGTAGTGGGTAATAGACAGGTAGGCACCTTGTCAACATGCACATCAAGCGCAGCCATACCGGGGATAGCACGCAACAGCCAATCACTTTAGACGACAAAATGAAATAACATAAATCCAATAATGCATACAGATACGGTGGTATAACTCTTCGCTAAATTAGCACCTGAAGTAAGTTGGTTAGCAATGAATCCGCGATACGGGAAAAAGAATGTCCACAAGTTACTCAAAACGCTACAAACGCAACAAAATTACCGAAGATAAGCGCGATTAGCGTAAGCGACGTGGCCAGCTAATAGAAGACTATTCAGATAGGCAAAACTAACCAAATATACTGGAATGAAATTTATGCAGCTTAAAGAGACCTAGTATAAGTGTAAGTCAGTTTAGCCCAACTGCGGTGAAGAAGCATCAAGAATGCAACATCAGCCTCAGCATGTTCTCAATCAGTCGCTTAAAAACGTACAGTGGGAGGATTTAGTGAGTTCATGTGACATGGAATCAATAAAGCAACTAATTTGTACCTGGGGCGATCGGGGTCATCGCTTCCAGTGGCTGATCCTATGCCTTACCATGGTAAGGGTAAGCTGGACACGAGGTCAATTTACTTGCACAGGTTGGGCTTCAGCCACCGGCTTGCGGAAGCCTCGGCAAACCGGAGCAATGCTGGACTGTTCTGCCTACTGACGACCGTGAACGAGTTCTGGCGGTCTTGACACTCATTCCAATTGAGTAGGTCTCGAGCAATAGAGCTGGCAGATAGCTTGGGACCGTTCATCACTAGACCTCTCGGAACATGCTCCATGCTCTTTGTAGATAATCTCTCAGTCCGACCAATGTACATGCTACCGCACGTACAGTTAAATTGGTAAACGCGGGAGTCGATGACTTGAGGGTGAGGTTTATCTAGGTTTGATTGGTGCAGCAACTTTTAGCTTTGATGGACTAGCACTAGCTCAGTTGCGTAACAATACCTCTTTATGGATTGCTGTAGTCGGTGGCAGAACCTCTTGTCAGTTTGTTCCCCTTTGTAAAGTCGGGTGATGAATACTTCCTTCTTTGGAACAACGGGTTGTTCCATCTTTTGGGGGATTTTCCTCCCCATATCTTTCTATAAATTTACTAGGGTACCTATTATCGCGTAGCGTGGATACAATGCGCTGCACTTCACTCGTGATTGTCTCTTCGGAACAGAATCGGCGCGCTCTGATGAACTAGGTGCGAACCAAGGATCGCTTATAGTTCATCGGGCAGTACCTGTTAAAGTTTAGATACTACCCTGTCCAGCTGGGCTTGTGATAAATCTACCGTATTAGAGATCCATCTGGTTTTCTCTTTAAGGTAACATCCAAGAATTGAAACATCTCCCTCGACTCTCTTTGCATGGTGAAACTGATCTCCGGATAACATTGGTTTAATTCTTCTAACATGTTCTTTGCCTTCCATGCAGTGTCGACGACCACAAAAGTGTCATCTACATACCAGGCATAGAACTGCGCCTTTTCTATGGTTCGTCGTAGTTGGTTATTCTCTAAATGAGCCATGAAGATATCAGCTAGAACAGGTCAAAGCGGGCTGCCCATCGCTACGCCTTCGATTTGCCGGTAGAGTTTACCATCAAAGCTAAATTGAACATCCTTGGTGCAGATACGGAGTAGGGCTTTTAAACGGTGTGCTGGAAAACCCACCTTGCTCGCATGTGTACCTATGCTATTCAATGTCTCCTCCAGAGGGACACTTGTGAACAGTGAACATACGTCAAAAGATACCATGCATTTGTCATTCACATTTAGCTTCTGAATCTTGTCAACGAATTCAAACGTGCCTTTCTAACTATGTACAGCCAACTCAGATCTGATAGGCTCAATAACTTTGGCCAACCATCGTGCTAGCTTCTGGTGCGGCGCACCAACCATTGAGATAATCGGACACAATGGGACCCCTTCTTTATGTACCTTCGGTAACCCGTACATGCGCGGGTTTCAAACCACGAGGACCTATTTGCTGCATGCTTTTGTGTCAATTAACCACCCTTTGTGTAGTGTTCACAGTTCACGAACTATGGATTTTTCAATTCTTCCAGTTCTATCGCGCTCTGCTAGATCTCGAATGAATCTAGCCTCATTTGAAAGCACACTTCGCAGTTTTTGAACGTAGTCCTGTTTACTTACTAGAACGATGCCAGAACCTTTGTCAGGTCTTAGTGTCACTACCTCCTCGTTTTGACGTAACTCCATCACTGAATTAAAGTGCTCCTTTGTAAGAATTCTGCGTTTCTCAACCTGTGCAACGTATAATTGATTCTCCCATTCTACTGCCTTTGCCTTAAACCAACTGCTTGCGCTTTCGCTTGCCGGGGTCAAGCAAGAGAGCTGTTCGTAGAGATACTCGAACTGAGCCTCGATCCCTATTCGATCGCATTTACCAGGTGATACGGAAAAGTTAAATTCCAACGACAACGCTTCCAGTTGCGGGCGACTGAATGGGATGTTGGACAAGTTTACCACGTATTTTTCAGGATTATATAGCATGTGCATGGAGAGAGAGAGAGAGTTTACAATTTGCTGTTTGGTAACCATCCTTGTTTTTACTTCCCATAGGAGTTTGTAGAGTTTCACTCGACATAAGAGATTTAGTTTAGTCATGCCTGCTTCCACGCGTCCTATCCTGGCTTTCAACTGGGTACTATGGTGAACAGAAGTTTCAATCTGCGATTTCATGTATCGCCAATCGCCCCAAGTTCAGAAGATTACTTGCCTTATTGATTCCATGTCACATGCACTCACTAAATCCTCCCACTGTACGTTTGTAAGCGACTGATTGAGAATACACGAAATAAACTGAATTCCGTCTATCTCGCGAAATGCTGCTTGTTCTTGCTATGTTGAAATTTCTCAAGGGAACTGATTGCGTGAAACCTAATTGATTGGATAAACTAATCGCTAGTTTCAAGAGAGCCGCATTTGAGTCTTCACGTTTATCTGCCTGTCGAATCTATTCACTCCTCACAACTTCATTTCTGCTCGCATCATCATCATCATCCGTTGTTTTTAGTGTTTTCGGTTCTTGCTTTGCTTATATTTACGCCCTACCCCCGCTGTTCCATTTACAGGTCGCTGAACAAACTGCACAGGCGCCAGACACAGCCGGGCATCTTCGCATCACATACGAGGAATACAAACGCATCGCTAGTCTGCTGATTCTACGCACCAAACAGTGGAGCGAGACTACCGTGGATCAGCAAGCGGACAGCGCTTCTGATCAGACCGAAGGGGCTCCGAGGCGTAGCGAACTCATCAACTGGTATCTGGAAGAAGTGGCCGACGAATTTCAGTCGGAGGCTCAGTTGGCCGAGTGTAAAATACTTGTGGAGCGTATCATCGACAGACTGATCAAGAAAGTAAGCACGCAGTTGCTTTTTGTCTAATTCTTTCGTTTTCTGTCTAGCTTGGTTCTCACGTCTACCATTTCAATGATACAGCTGCAAGTTCCTTCATTGGGAGCGACATCCATTTCCATTGCTCACGTGTCGATCGTCTCTGAGTCGCCTTAACAGCATTCTCGTCATTGGCCATGCAATCAACTTTTGCATTACTTACAGGGATTGTCACTTATGGCTAGTTAGGATTCTACGCCGTTTCTGCTTACACATGTGTCCCGATCGTAAATGGTCGCATGTTGGATGTAGCATCACGTAACGGAGCCTATGCACCTCGTTACTTGAGTGTTTTGCTGCGTCTTGTCGCTTTGGTGATGTATCTGGATTCGCTTAATCAGGCTACGAGTGCACTTCATACACCGACCTCACCGGGGGGGAGGGGGTTGAAGAAACATGTGGAGTCCGATGTTTGTGTTACATGCTGCTTATATGCATCATATAATCATTAGTGGCTTCATAAGCCACAAGCGTCGTCACGCAGAGCTAGCATCTAAGGGAAGATTAGAAGCTACAAACGTAGCCATCGTCAGCGTAGCACCACGTCCGCATCCATTCGATTTGCTAACCCAGGCCAATACGGCGATTGATGTGGTACATGTTCTACATCATCGTAACAGTTGGCCTGTACGTGTGTCTGCCTGTTGCGCTTCTGGCATTTCATGTGGAGGTTGTTGGTGTTATCTTCCGTGATAAGATGACCACCTGTCTAACACCCTCCACCTAGTCATCTACTGGTTCCAAGAGACTGAAACGTTGCTGAGGGGGGCGGGGTGAATGGTCCTCGTGACCTTGCTAAGCTCAAACCGTGGTTCCATACATCCAGTGTGGAAAGGGTTACTGCCCAGCCACCGCCTTGTGTACGTCTGGTACGCATGATTCCCTACGTAGATAGACAGAAATGTTACTGGTGTGCATGTTGCAGGAGTGTGCGCCGGCCCCGTTGAAGAAACGTGGCTCCCATCCACATGCTTCCCGGTCTTATTCCATCGGCTTTATGGGGTGTGTGGTTGGAGTTGTGGGTGATGCAGCGCAAGCCAACTACTCATGGTCCATTTGGATGAACAGGCGTCCTGTGGCTGTCCCCATGGAGTCCGCAGTGACAGGCAAATCCGGAACTGGATGCCGCCAGCTGTTATTAGGTTGACTTGTAAGCGCATTGGTTAATGCGATGTTGGCCTGCTTTTTGTGCTCTCCTCTCTGACATTCACTGTTCCAAAACTCAATTCTCCTAGTTCATTTGAATCTGTCTCTTTATCCTTCTTCTCTCAGGATAACATTCTCATCGCGATTGGCGGTACTGGTCTGGACTCTGTGTCCTCTGAGGCGGCCGACCCCTACCTGGTAGTCCATCCTAATTACATCGAATAAACACACAACAGATACATCAAGATACAGATTTATATTTTTGCAGTATTTATAAATGTCTTACATACTCGTTTCTTGTTCTCTCCCACGATAATCAGTGATCCGGTTTCGCTAATTAACAATTGTAGACTTCCAGCACAATTTCGTGGTCTCTATTACCGTTTAGGTTGTTTGGACTTGTATATGAGTATGATCCGGCACGGCTTGGCATGTTGAACGTAAACCCGTCTTCGTCCATGTATTCGTAGCTGCCGATTGTCGTCGCAGTAGCTCTGGGTTAGATTGCCCACAAGTATTCATCAATAGATTCCACTTTTTACCCTCACTTCTGTGTCTGATGTATAGTTGCTCATTCGCGTCGCTGACGGAACAGAAATTAATTTCTTATACCTAAGGAATGTTTGCTGTAATTTATTAAGAGTTTGTCGCATTCATCGGGAAAAGCGATGGACGGTCATCTCTTCCTATTGGGACCTGTGAGTAACGCGCCTCTCTCGGCCACACCAGGACTACATTTAACGAAAGAGTCACCACCTTATCTGACATCGCATACTTTGTACCCCGTCATCCAGGTTATGTTACACTTTCATGGTCGACCCTGTGGGTTGATGAAAGATGAGTCAATTTTGACGAGGCGCCCACCCTTTCAGTACTACTTCCCCAATGGCTGGCTCCAGGATCCTGTCCACTACGCCGTGCTAAACTTCACATCCTCAGATATGTGGCCCTTCTACCACCTTGAGTCCACGGGATGTGCTTACCACCCACCCATCAGCATCAGCACTTCACCCCGATACCTCTCTGTCAACATCTCTAAGTGCCCTGTTACTGTGGAACCACGGGATGGGAGAATGAGTTCTAGTTTAATAACTAGCTGCCCCATACTAACATTCATTGCCAAGGCACCTACATCTTGCCAACACCACACTATCAAAAGGAGCCGACTACCATGCATATATATAAGAAGGCATTTGCGAACCGTCTTCCTTTTGACTTCCCCTCTCCGCGTGATTATCAACTTTGCCCCACAACTAATCCTCCAAGGTACGCATTGATAGTCAGTGCAGTGTTTAACAGACACTAACTTCGCACCGATCGAACATATCCAATGACATCTTATATCTGAAGTCTCGGGGCGTTGAAATCAACCGGGAATGCTCTTATGTTGCGCTACCTACCCCTAGGTGATATTCGTTTTAATCCACTGTGTGTCGGCGGGGATCCAATCCTCATTTCTACCCACTTACCTACCTGGGCGCATGCGAAGTGTGCTACCTGTGACTGTGAAGTTTCGGAGCATTCTCCATGTGTCGCGGATTACGACACGTAATTTCAATTGAGGCCACAGTTAGTTGACTTTGAAGTCAAGCTGTGTCATTCCGATCATTGGGATCTTATCCGAAGTGGAGGACTTCGCTGTGCCTCCTTCATATTCCTGCACTCCACGACCGATGGTTTCGTCCTGGTTTGGACTCATCAGATAGAGATAACCGACCTGGGAGTGGAACTCGGCTCATACTGCTTTGCGGCTATCGCCATGATCACTAGGCCATTGGGCTCCGCGAGCAGTGCTTGGCGCAGAGGTTAGAGGTAGATTTTCGGGTTTTGAGGCCCCCACCGTGTGTCTCAGATTGCGACACGCAATCACAATTGTGGCCTCGGTTGACTGACGTCAACCTCTGCCAATACCATCCTTGGGACCGTCACCGAAGTTGGGCGGTTTCGATGTGGCACTCTCGCATCCTTACCCTTCACGATTGACAGTATTGTCCTGGTTTTGACTCATCAGGTAGTCATAACGGAATTGGGAGTGGAAGTCCGCGCACACTGCTTGGCCGCTATCGCCATGATCACTGGGCGAATGAGCTCCGCGAGCAGAGCTTACACAGCATTTAGAAGTTGCTTGTGGGGTTTTGGAGCACCCGCCGTGTGTCTTGGATTACGGCACATAATCTCAATCATAGCCTCGGTTGACTTTGAAGTCAATCTGGGCCATTACGATCACTGACCGGACCGTAGCCTAGAGGTAATAAGCTTGTCTTGTGATCTTGCAGCGTGGGTTCGAGCCTGCGTAGGGGCAGAGCTACCGTCACTGCATCCTTAGCTCACTTGCGGCCGGCGGTGGTTGCGCGGCAACGACGCATCCGTACTGTGTACCGGCGTACTGTTTTGCCTTGCCTTTTATTACGACCATTGGGACCGTATCGGAAGTGGATGGTTTCGGTTTTTTAAAACACCAGACTACAGTTTCCACCCGTTGGGCCTCATCAGTAGTGCGCATCCATCAGGATTTGAACCCATGTTCCCTAACGGCTTACGCCTTCAGTCAGCAGTTTATGCAGCGTGGGACAGTGGCAGACCATCATGATTTGTGAGCTAACTGCGACATAGCGCGCATTATCTTCCGCTGCCATACAAGTTACGAAACTTGCGGCGGACACAACCTCTACTGACTGTAACTGTACGATATGGCATTTAGACACAGTTAGGGTGGATATTTTGGTATACTCATAAGTAGGGGATTTGTTGTTGTAATTAGTTGAGAGGTCGTCACAGCAGCTTCCAAATCAACTAATCCTCCACATGCTCGGAAAAGCACCTGGGCTCCCACGGCCACCGTAACATAAAAGTTTCGAAACGAATATCGCCAACTGCATTGTCGTGGACATACGATCTATTTTATGTTTGTTGCCACATATTTATCACTATGGGAATCAAATTTACATTTTGCGAAACACAGAACTGTATATATGACAGTTCTGATGACCAGAGTTCTTAAAGAGCTTATATTCCATATCATGGTTATTCTTGATCTCCTCAGTTGGCGACTCTTAATCGCTCCCAGATAGGCGTCCACTTTTGCCTACGGAATGTTGCTCATCTTGAAAGCCGGTGATGATCACTGCTCTAGACCAGTTCACCGTCTCTGACGGATGCGTGTTGCTTTGATCTGGGTTCGTCGAGGAGCGGCCTGTCAGTTCGTTAACTCTACTCAGAGCCTAATTGATCGGGTTGTACTTGACGTAGCGACTACAACTGGAGTCAAACATCAGTATCCCCATCTCGGTGAAATTCTCAATTAAAATCAGTTGGCTGTTCACTTGTCGACATGCTGACCAATAAGGTTGTTTCCTTAGGTGTTGAAAAACATTTGGCCAAGTGTCCCATGAACAGTGCCTCATTAAACTCCGGGGACTGACGATTGGGTGCGCAATTTTTAGTACACGATTTCTGCTTGGTGCGCGACGTATTGCCAATGAGCCCACAGTATCTGTCCTGGTATTGCAGATTGTCCCACTCACCCGTCACTTCCCAATGGACCGAAGTATCTGTCCTTCAGATGTTCAAAGGGCGATGGTAGATTAATTGTGGATGTTTGTGAGTAAAGTTCGTAGAAAGTAGAAGTCACGATTAAAATTCACACACAATAATGTGCCTCGACGGGGAATCGAACCCCGGTCCAACGAATTTCCGGTCCGCTGCTCTACCACTGAGCTACCGAGGTCTGACGATTAGGTGCGTAATTTTATTTTCATGCATTAAAAATTGCGCACTTAATCGTCAGGTCTCTGTAGCTCAGTGGTAGAGTAGCGGACCGGAAATTCGTTGGACCGGGTTTCGATTCCCCGTCGAGGCACATTATTGTGTGTGAATTTTAATCGTGAGTTCTACTTTCTACGAACTTTACGCTATTCACAATCATCCACAATTAAACTCCGGGGACTTGTTCTCTCTATGCCGATTATTTCCTGGATCTCTGACTTTCTGAATGACCGTAGCATGCAAGCGGAGGGGAATGAATCCTACTGCGCGCTTGTTCTCACGACCAGCGGGGTCTGACATGGATCTGTCCTTGGTCTACTCATTTAAATCTCCACTGCTGACCTTCCGACCAATTGGTCGCTTGACCTGCGTGGGCGTGTCTGGGCCTGAAGCTACTGACCGATTGTAGTCAACGCTAAACCGGCTGCATTGCTAGTACCGAGGGCTCGCCTTTCTGTTCGTCTACTTTTTCAACTGATTCGCTTGATACCGATCGTACTGGAGGTTTCCTACTCACGAACGCTGGTTGTGAAAGGGCTTGCGTTTCTCCCCATTTACACACAACCCAGAAGTTGGGGAAAATCGCGACAGCCAATATGATTTTTTGCCATTGGGGGCTCATTTGACAGATTGGTTCCAGAAATCGTCGGAATTCTCTTTATTTCTCATTTACGTCCGATAGTTGGGCACGGATTGCCGGTGGCCTGTCCTCTTACTAAGGCTGACTGCTCTAATAAAAATCGTTCAACGACGTGGCTGGAACTCTGACGCGGCACTCTGGAACTTAGCTAATTCCTGTCGACTTGGGTGGATGAAACTATTCTCCCTGCGATATCATTGCCGTTGTAACCAGACATGTTGTACTGAAACGTTTAAGTTTGGGCCACGTGAATTCATTTGGCTCTGTGCCACTGTCAGAAGTTATCTAACTCCACTTCTCTGCTCGGTTGGTGAATGATCGAAGCAGCTAACCTGAGCCAATCGACTGTGCACCAACAGAGGAGCGTTCTAACCGATTTTTAGAGACTTATCTGCTTGACAAGCAAGGATCATGCTGTGCACCACCGTCTCCACTGCGAAACACCGTGTTGTTGCGACCCGCTTCATGTCTGTATCAAGCGGGAAACGACGGGCTGTGTAGAGCTGCACTTATGAAACTGGACAGTGTCGATCACTAAACTGTAGCTTGGCATCGTAAACTGCCCTAATCCGTCTGTGCGTCACTTTCCTGAATGAGATGGTTTGGTGTCCTTTATCATCATGGATACATCTGCGCAGACAACAGCACCGAATGCACATGGCTTTGCGTTGGCTATAGACCTGTTGGTTGCTAGGCGTGCAGTCGACAAGACTTATGGCTCAGCCACATGCTTATTGGCCTCAATCCCAGCTCTGTACTAGTGGTTTGTACCGATCCCACTGTGTTGGGCTGGGAAAGAGTCGTAACTAACACTTATCTTTACATCCCTATTATGTGCCGGGGGGCTCTGTGATGTGATAGACAGTTACGTACGGACAACACTAGACATCAATCGCCATGTGGGGTTGGGATTCGACTAGTCTATTGTTCCAGGAAGATCATAGACAACAG